ATCTATTAGTATTTTCTATACTGCTAGTTTCAGCAATAAGATATGAAAAACTGAATATATCCTTATCCTATGAGATAATGCTAATTCGTAATTAACTAGGAAGATCTGTTATAAGATTTTGAATAGTTCTAACTTCTTATAATCGAGTTTTTCGCTGAATCTGATTATTTTGATGTTTTTCCGAAGTAGATAGGCCTTATCTCCCTCCTGTAGAATTAGTCCCTCAATCCTTTTGGAATTTGCATATTATACTATTCGTTCCTGGATGAATTGTAATTCTGATCGGAGTTCCTCCTAAACTTTCTTAATCTTCTTAACCCTTTTATCCGCAGCTTCTGCATCTGCTTCTAGCAGTGCTTCATAGTAAGCTGTTGGATTGTATCCATAGAGTATAAAGAATGATAATTTCTTCATTATGCTTATATCTGCGCTGTTATAAGCAAACTGTACGAGAAGCAATAAGTTAATCCAGTTGTTCTGTTCCTGATTAATATAGTATCGAAGATACTGTTTAACAATTTGATTTATTCTTTCCATCTGTTTATCTATTTGTGAGTGAAATGCTGTAGATATTCTGTAGTATATTCCGAGTTGTTTTATAAGCAAAGTTCAAAACTTCGAGTTAAACTTTCTATCTCTATCGGAGATCACTTCTTCTAGCATGCTATAGTTAGCAATAATCATTCTGAGGAATGCATATGCAAGTTCCTCTGCTATACTGCTTTCCTTATAAGAGAGAAAATAAGCATACTTGCTCAGTCTGCAAACCACTACTAGAATGCTATTGTATTGCATCTTAGTTAAGAGTTTTCATAAGAAAGATAGCTTGATAATAAAGTTTAGACTAATGAATTGCTAAACAGTTGTAAGTACTAGTAAGAAATACAGTAGTCTGTAAGGCTTATATCTCTCTGCTTTATTTTTTTTGCAGCTATTGCATTGTTATAGAATACTCTCAATTCTTTTCCTAAGATCTAATGAATTCCAATATCTTTTAATGCATTCGTAGATTGCTTTAACTCTCTGATGTTCATATGCTGGTGCACTGTATACATTCTTAATATAGTTATCTTATTCGTTCAGAATTATTGATTCTGAATCCCTTTCTGAAGATCCAATTCTGAAAGCAGCATTCAGTTCTCTGTATGCATTAACGAGATTTCCTGACTTATTTTGAGTAAAGATGTTCTGTATATCTGAGAAATCTGTATCTTGATAGTCTGATCTTCTGCTGAGAGTATTTGCTTGTTCGTTTTCCGAGTTTTTGCAGTATATAATCTTGAAATCAAACTGTGAAAGGAATTCTGCTTATCTAACTTATTGCTTGTTCAAAATCTTAATTATTATGAATATAATCAGATTTTTATAATCCGAATAAACTATGATCGGGTATTGTATGCTAATGAGATAGTATTGCTATTCCTTGAAAGCTTTTATTATTGCTATGAATTCCTGATCAGGGATTCCGTAGTTGATTTCCGAGCTATTCAACTTCTTTAAGAAGTTGCTTATAATCCTTAAACATTCTTAATCATCTTGCTAACTAAGTTATTCTCCGAGCGCATATTCTAATGTATTAGTCTCAACTTCAAAGAATTTGTAGAGATCTGCTTTATACAGAACTAGCTCTGAGATAATATGCTTGATGATCTCATCGAAAGCTTCTTATGCTTTGAGAGTTCATTCGAAGAGCTGTTCCTTCTTGGTAAGATTTGTAAGAAAATATGCAATTCAGCTGTAGTTTCTAATAAACTGCTTGTAGAAGTTAATGTATTCAAGGAAAGATTTAATATTCCTGATATTCCTGAGAACTGGCTAATTTCTGATAGCTTCTACCTTATCTTTCTATGGTTTGATGCATCCTAGTTCGATTGTGAATCCGAGATAGTTAACCTTTTGTATGTAAAAGTAGCTTTTTGCAGATTCTATAAGAAGCTTCGCATTCTAGAGCGTTTGCAATACTATTTCCACGTATTTCTTATATTCTTCCAATATTCGAGAGTAAATAAGGATATCATCAAGATAAGCAATAATAAACTAATTCAGATGTTTGCATAGAATATAATTAATCATTTTCTGGAACGAAGCTGGAGCATTTATTAAACCAAAGAGCATAATCAAATATTTATAGTATTCGTAGCATATTCTAAAAGCAGTTTTCTATTCTTCTTCTTTCTTTACTCTAATCAGATTATAAGCTTCTTTCAGATTCAAAACTGTAAACCACTGTATTCCTTGCAATCTATCTTATAGTTTCTTGATAAGTAGCAATAGATATTAGTTCTTGATTGTAATATCATTGAGTTGCTTATAGTTAATACATAGCCTAAGCTTGCTATTCTTTTTGAATACAAACAGAATAGGGTATTCTGCTAGTAATTGCAATAATTGTATATATCCTTTCTTAAGATTTTTATCAAGATATTCCCTAAGTACCTCTAGCTATATCTTGTCTAGTCTGTAAATAGGGAAGAATTTGAGCTGTTTCCCTTCTTATAGCAGAATCTTGTAATTATATAAGCTGTATTCTAGCAATCCTGTATCCAATTCTTCCTGAAACAGTTTCTTGAACTTATAATATTCTCATGATATATTTGCAAGTATTAGTTCTGGTTCTTGTGCTGTTTCTGCTACCTGGAGGAATAGTAGGTACTGCTGAGCATACTTCTGTTCATTCGTTGTTTTTGGTAATGTTTTTGAAAGCCTTAAGCATTCGCTCCGAGCTGAACTGAGCGCTCGAGAGCCTGGTTTCGAGGTTTTTCCTGTATAAGTTCACAATTCACATTCTGAAGCTTTTCCTTATTGCTTCGGAGCAAACCGACTTGCTGAGAATCTCGCTTCCGTTGTTTTGCTAACCTGTTAGCACCCTAGCACTGTTTAGGTTCGCTTGTTACTAGATTCTTCTTCTTGAACTACCAGCCCTGCTGATTTGAAAGTATATGAGAAGTTATATAAAGCTTCTTTTCCTGAGTATTCTTCAATCACTAGCTTCGATCCTGCGCTATTGATTATAACTATCTCTCTAGATACAGCTTGTTTCTATGAGATCTAGCTAGTAATTCAATTGATTCGAGAATTGTGCTCTTTGAGCTATGAAAGCTTCATAATCAGCTTATGCTGTGCTATATCCGTAATATCAAAGGAAGCCTTGATTATATATTCTTGGATTAAGATAGATAGATGATTAGTCTTCTTATTAATTATTTCTTAATTGTATGCAACAGATTATTCTTCTACAGTGCTAAGGGTATATGAGCATCTCTTTCATCTTCATTGTAGTTGTGCCTGATTAACGATATGTGGGAATATAAAGTTTCTCTGAGCGCTACTATCCAATAGTGCGCTATACTTGTATTCTTGAATGTATATATCGAACTTAATATAAGCATAATCTATTCTAAAAGCTTCATATAGGAACTATTCTGATCTGATTATCTGCAGTCTCTTTACAAGCAATCCTATTCTTTTGAATTTATTAAGAACTGCTTGTTCTTCTGAGCTTGCTTTACTGCTTCTTAAGCAAGCTTCTTAGCTTGCTTTTGCTTGTATCATTATTATTCCTAGTCTTTCTTCTGTTAATATTAGTTGCAAATCTTATTATTGATGTAAATCATACAGAGTATCATCTTGTACTGCTACTATTTTATTTCCTTGTTTATGCATTATATGGGGCAGTTATCTAGTAGTTCGATGTATGCATTGTAATGCTATTTGTTGAGAATCTCTCTAAAGCAGAATTTCTGTTCTTCAATAGTCTAAAGGATCTATTCTAGTTCTCTGATGGGAAACCATTTGTATTGCATTTTATCTGAGAAATGTATTCTGCAGCTATGATAGATGCAGGAGATCTAAGCTAGTTCGTAGTGTAGATTGTAAAGTGAGCTGATCCGAGAATCCTCATCTTCTTGTACCTTGATGTTCTGCAAGGGAATGCAGGTGAAGAGCTCTTCTAGCCTTATTTCGTAGACGAGATATTCGATTTATATTGTTTTCTTGTTCCATCCGATGCTGAAGAGAAACCTTTTTGTAAGCTTCTTGGGTTTATTGTTTACAGGAGACTCTGGTGAACTATTGGATTGCTTGTTCTAGCTTGATCTTTCTGTTGCTTGAGAGGTGTTTTCGGTATTGTTTAGGTATTTATACTAATAACCAAGAAGGTATCATCTCTTATTCATTTCTCTGGTTATAGTATCTGATGCAGGTGATGGGGAATAGCGAAGAGCACCGTTATTAAGTCCTTCCTCTAGCATCTGAATGCTTTGTTTAGTAACATTGAAGCAGTTCGAGTTATTGCTGCTCGTAGTTGTGTTAAGCGTATGCCCTTGCTCTGCTGTTGCTATCTGCCTGTAGCATCTAGATTTCTGAGGGAACTATCCTGAATCTTCCTTACTCAAGAGGTATATTAAGCAGTTATCATTATAGCAGAATGTTCAGCTAAGATTTCTATAATTAATAGAGTCCAATACTTGCTCCGAAGGGATATTTTTGCTCAGTTGATTGGGTTTCTGTTATCGAGCAATATTTATCTAGCATTCTTTCTGAACTAGTTGCTATTTGTTCTTCCGGAGTTGATAGCAGTTGCATGCAATGTATTCTTATTTGTTGCAGTTGTAGCAAGTAATGCTGTTTCTCTTGCTATACTGCCTATTAGCTGCATTGAGTTCTATGAAATCAGTATATATAGTGCTGCTCTGGGCTATACTGCTATATCAACTGCTATTCTTATTCTGGAGTTTCTTGCTTATATTAGCTGGAAATTTCCAAGTTTAGCTTTTTCCTTTCTTAAACTTCTCTATTCATCGTTTATATAAATAGTTATTAATACAGATAGCTTGATTGGAGAACGTTGCAAAGTTCTCTAGCTAATTCTGTTTGGAGATTTCATTCTTAATATTATTCTTGAATTCCTTGTAATAATGCTCTATAAAATTCTTATCTTCTCACAGAAGTTATGCTAAGAATTGCTTAAATCTGATTATATAAATAGAAGCTGATTTAATCTATCTGAGATCCATAAGCTGCTGAGCTGTAATGCATTCTTCGTTAGGATTATTAAAGGTTTTTTTGAGAGCTTTCTCGAAGCTCTCAAAGAAATCGAATATATTCTTAGTACTCTGGATATGTACGTTAGGATTGTTCTGATGCTCCAAGTAATTGCATAGAGAAGGCTTGTATTAGATAAGAGCATTCTTTTCAAAACGAGTTCCTGCAAGAATAACTTTCTCAGATTTCATGGTAAACTAAGCTGTATAATGCAAAAAGTATGCTCTACAGTGGGTAAGGAATCCATATAGCGTTTTCTGATTGCTGTTATACATAGCGGGCTTATCCATCTTATATATTTTTCCAGCGCCACTGGTGATTGCAGAAGTGAACTGCGCCTGCTGAGCCTATTGAGCTAGCTAAGCCTGTTGGGCTAGCTGAGCCTGTTAGTTGGCGATGGTAGCGCTCTGAGCCTGCTGTTATTCGCGCAGATTCTGAATACGCTGAATGAGCTGGTATACCTGGTTAATCAGTTCTTCCTGAGTAGGAGCGCGCGAGAACGAAGAGATTCCTGGAGAAGCTATCGTATTCCGTATTGCTCAAGAGATAATACTAAACTGTTCTTGAACAAGAGTTATTAAAATGTAATAAGCATTGCAGCAATTCGAAGATTTCTAAGTATATGAAGAGATTTATGCTAACAAGAGCAGTATTAAAGTATCAAGTTCTTGAATACGGAACCGTACAAGTTCTGATAAGCGATGCAAGTGTTCACTGCCTTTGGGGCTACTCAGTATATGAAACTGAATACTTAGATTGATAACTGAAGAACTGTCTGAAGGAAATCTATTTAATAGTAGGAAATGTAAACCTTCATATACTTGGTTCTTCAGTTCGGATAGATAGGATCGATGTTGACTTCATCGATTCCCTCATCGACGGGATAGACGTCGACTGTATCTATCCGCTAATAACCCTAACCCTGGGTTATATAATCGATGCTTTGTCAGAACGTTGAATCCTTGACACCTGGTCCCTGTTACTCGTGACCTGTTCTGTGACCTGCATGTTGGATGGGTCATAACATTTGCATTCTAAAGCATTTATAATACTATTTTTATATACTTTTTATATTCTTCTAATATTTAAAAGTAAATAAGAATATTATCAAGATATATAATAATAAACTAATTAAAATACTTATATAGAATATAATTAATTAGTTTTTGAAATAAAGCTAGAATATTTATTAAATCAAAAAGTATAATCAAATATTCATAATATCTGTAGTATATTCTGAAAGCAGTTTTTCATTTCTTTTCTTTCTTTATTCTAATCAGATTATAAGCTCTTCTAAAATCTAGAGCTATAAATTATTATATTTCTTGCAATCTATTTTATAATTTCTTAATAAATAGTAATAGATATTAGTTTTTGATTATAATATTATTAAATTATTTATAATTAATATATAGCTTAAGCTTACTATTTTTCTTAAATATAAACAGAATAAGATATTTTGCTAATAATTATAATAATTATATATATTTCTTTTTAAGATTTTTATTAAAATATTCTTTAAATATTTCAAGTTATGCTTTATCTAATTCATAAATAAGGAAAAACTTGAGCTATTTTTCTTCTTATAATAGAATCTTATAATTATAAAAGCTGAATTCTAGTAATTCTATATTCAATTCTTTTTGAAATAATTTCTTGAATTTATAATATTCTTATAATATGCTTACAAATATTAATTCTAGTTTGTATTCTATTTCTGCTATTCAAAAAAATAATAAGTATTATTGAATATTCTTTCTTTCTTGTATTATATAAAGAATTATTGCTTTCTTTTTTTTACTGAATTGCTATTTATTAATTCAAGCTAAAGTAATCTTTCTGGAATATAATTTTTATTCTTTATTCTAACTTATAATATACTATTCTAATGCAGATTAATTGTTTTGTATTAATATTTGTATTCTTATTTCTATAATCTGCAAGAATTCTAATATAATAATAATATTCTTTTTGCTAGATTCTTTTTCTTCTATTAGCAGCTCTGCTAATCTAAAAGTATATATAAATCTATTTGAAGCTTCTTTTCTTGAATATTCTTTAATAATTGAATTCGATTCTATATTATTAATTGCAATTATTCTGCTAAATATAGCTTATTTCCAAGAGATCTAGCTAGTAATTCAATTAATTTAAGAATTATACTGCTTAAGCTAAGAAATACTTAGAATTAATTCATATTCTGCTATATTTATAATATCAAAAGCAATAAATATTATATAATCTTAGATTAAAACTAATAGATAATTAGTTTTTATATTAATTATATCTTAATTATATATAATAATCTATTCTTTTATAATAAGAAGATTATAGATTTTTTTTTTCTAATACTAATTAATATATACTTTATTAATAATTCTAAGAAATATAAAGTTTTCTTAAATGCTATTATTTAATAAAGCTTTATATTTATTTTTGTAAATATAAATATCGAGTTTTATATATACTTTATTTCTGCTATATGCAGCATATAGAAATCTTTAAGCTCTAATCATTTATAATCTCATTATAAACAATTCTTCTCTTTTGAAATCTGAGCTTGTTATGCTGCTCTCTAAGCAAGCTTTTTAGCTTATTGCTGCTTATACTAATATCTCTTTCTAGCTTCTTGCTTATTATACTAATTGCAAATCTTATTGCTTATATAAATAATGCAGTTAATTATTTAATACTACTACTATTTTATTCTATTATTAATGTAGTTCCAAAAGCTATTTATTAGTAGCTCGATATATACATTATTATGCCTTGTTTCAAGAACTTCTCTAAATCTAATGCTAGATTTCTTAATAACTTGAATAATCTATTTCTATTCTTATGCTGAAAATCATTCATTTTTAATCTTTTCCGAAAAGTATAGCTTATAACTATAGCTAATATATAAAATTCAAGCAATTTTATAATAATCTTAATATATATAATCAATCCTAGAATCTTTATACTAAACTAATTCTATATTATAAATAAGAATATAAATAAAGAATTCTTTAAAGCTAAGTTTATATACTATGTATTCTATATTATATATAAAGATATAATAATATATGCTAGCAAAATCGAATATACTATAGAGCATTGCTAAGTTCGCTTTACTAAAGCTGATAATTTCTAATAAATTATTAATAAGCTTTAATGAACTATTCGATTGCTTATTAAAGAACATTTCTTCAAATGCTTATAAGAGTTATTCTGTTTATTATTGCTTGTAATATTCCAAGAAGTATCTTTCTTTATTATTCTTTCTAAAAACTAATTCTTTCTTGAAAATACTAAAGCAATCTGAATTGCTATTATTCAGAACTATATTATAAATTAGTTTTTTTCTTTCTATTGCTAATTATTTAATCTTTCTTTATAATATTTTTAAGAATTATTCTAAGCTTTTCTTATTCAAGAAATATATTAAGCAGTTATTATTATAGCAGAATATTTAGCTAAAACTTTTATAATTAATAGAGTTTAATACTTGCTTTAAGAGAATGTTTTTGCTTAGCTAATTAGATTGCTATACTTGCATTATATTAAGCTATTATTCTTCGGAAATAGATTTCTATTATTAAAGCTTTCTAAGCTAGCAACAATCTTATATAATATAGCTTAGTTTATTATAATTATAATAGTTTTAATTATATATCTTTTTTATAATTATTCTATAGATCTAGTATAAATATTTCCACTTTATATTATATTCTACTAAAAATCTTTATTCTAGCTTTAGAATTGAAACTTTTTGCTAATATTTAGCTGCAATTGCTATATAAATTAGCTTTCTTTCTTCTTAAACTTTTCTATTTGCTATTTGTAGAAGCAGTTATTCATTCTAATAGCTATATTTGAAAATACTACAAAGTTTTTAAGCTATTCTTATTTTATAATCTTATTCTTAACTTTATTCTTAAATTCTTTATAATAATATTTAATAAAATTCTTATTTTTCTATAGAAATTATATAATAAGTTGCTTAAATTTGATTATATAAGCTAATACTAATTTGATCTGCTTAAGATCTATTAATTATTTAGCTGTTATATATTCTTTATTAGAATTACTAAAGATATTCTTAAGAGTTTTTTCAAAATCTTTAAAGAAATTAAATATTTTCTTAATAATTCTAGTATATATATTAGAATTATTAGCATATTCCAGATAATTATAGAAAGAAGATTTATATTAAATAAAAATATTCTTTTCAAAGCAAGTTTCAGTAAGAATAATTTTCTTGGATTTTATAGTAAACTAAGAAGCATTATATAAGAAATATACTTTATAATAAATAAGAAATTTTTAAAGAAGTTTCTAAATGCTATTATATATAATAAGCTTATTTATCTTATAGCTCTTATATGCAGAAATCTAAAAGCTATACTAAATCTGCTTTTGCTAAGCTTAAATAATATCTTTCTGCTAATGCTAGCTCAGCTAAAGTTCTTTAATATGCTAAGAGAGAAAGCAAATCTAATTAATCAGCTTCTCCTATATAGATTAATATAAGAATAAGAAAGAGATTTCTAAAGCTATTATATTTTATATTATTTAAGAGAATAATATTAAACTATTCTTAAACAAGAGTTATCAAAATATAATAAATACATTGCAATATTCGAAGATCTGAAATATATAAAGAATTTATGTTAATAAGAGCAGTATTAAAGTAGAATTTACTAAATATAAAATATAACTGTAATCTATATAAGTATTAATTATTTGCTTTTAAAGCTATTTAAGTATATAATAAATAAATATTTAAATTAATAACTAAAAAGCTATATTCTAGTAGTTTATCTAGTAATAATAAATATATTCTTATATATTCAGCTCTTTAGTATAAGTTAACAGAATTGATTATCAATTTCTTTAACTAGTTAATAGAATCAATTGTTAACTTCTTCAACTGTGCAATCATTATAATTCTAACTCTGGTTATGTAATTCTGGCTTATATCCTTTCTATAAGCTAGTATTGTATCTCTGATGCTGAAGGATCCGTTCTGGACGTTCTTGGTGCTGTGCTGCTTCCCTGTTGTGATCTGCATGTTGAATGAGTTATAATAACTGATCTAATGATTCATTCCTATCTTAATTCTTGATTATATAATCACTGTTGGTTATCC